CAGTCTCAGAAAGCGGCTGGTTACAAATTTTCGAAAGTTGCCCCACCTGGATATCCTTAAAAAGATGAATAGCCATTTTGCTCAGGTATAACATGTATTGCATTTCGCGATTTCTCCACAAGCTGATGGAAGATGTGTCGGGCAGCATAAGAGCGGCGGATATTCGGAATTCAACCACCATCCTGGTTCGACTGCTACAATGAGAGGTATTTTCTGAGGAAATTTCCTTTCTCGAGAGTGAAGATACATCGAAGGCCAGGAGACGCATGAAGCTGAATTGAAGCCGATTACAAAAATTAGCTCCGTTTCTAAACGATGGAATTATTAGAGCCGATTAACATACTCGACAATTCCATTTAGTATGAAACACCAGATTTGGATGCCCAGTAAACATTACGTGACACGTCGGCTAATATTTCACTACCACATTATGAACGGTCACGTAGGAGTGCAACATGTCTTGTCTGAAACTGAAAGAAGGTGCTGGAAAATCGGCGGAATTGAAGCCGTAAAAGGAGTCCTGAACCACTGCGCGTCGTTTCATATTCGCAATACTCGGTCCGTGAAAATACCGATGGCAGCAATTATTCTGGATCAATATGCTGTCTACCAGCTGGCATTCAGCACCGCAGGTGTCGACTACTTTGGACCAATCATAGTTGCCCAGGGGCGTGCACGTAAACGTAAGTAAAGCTGCCTGTTCATTGGCCTGACAACTAGAGCAGTGCACATCGAAGTATCCCCAGTACTGGATACAGACACCTTCCTATGTGCGTTCATACGTTTTGCTGCCAGGCCTGTTTGGCCGTCGAGGGTGTGCAGTGACAACGGCCAAAACTTTCACGGAGCAGAGACTGAACGGAAATCTCTACTGAAAAGATGGAATCAGCAACGGCTCACCGAACGGGCTAGCAACAAGGAATGGGACTGGATACTCAATCCATTATGTGCAAGTCATCGTGGGGGCTTGTGGGAGCGCTGATTAGCTCCATTCGACCGTTGTTAGGTTGTATCCAGAATAATCAGGTGATTACTGATGCCGTTCTGTTAACGACCCTCATCGAAGTAGAAGGGACATTGAACGACAGAACGCTGACACCTGTCCCAGATTCACCGGATCTGCATGCCCCTATATCCCCTCGAGAATTGCTAACGGTGTGCACCAATCAACCACCGAAGGATGGAAAAATAAATTTTGCTCTGAAGCTGAGTAGACGTTGGCGACAGATGAGGCACTTGAGCGAAACATTGGAAAAAATGAATGCGCAGCTACCGACCTACACCTTAGAGGCTACCAAAATGGCTTGATATGTGGAACCTTAGTAAGGACGAGTTAGTTTTAGGTTGTGATACACGCACCTCAAAGGGTCTGTGGCCTAAAGTTATCGTGGATGAAGTTGTCACCTGTGCGATCGGATGTGTCCGCCCAGATTACATGAGGACCAGCAAAGGAATAAGGAGAAGAGATATCCGGAAGCTGTATCTTCTAGACGGAAAACTGAAGGAAGTAATATAGCAAGCACTTCAAAAAGAAATATCAACCGCCGGGGGAATGTAAAAGATTTGCTAATCCTTTATTATCCCAACTTTAACTTTCATTCACTTTTGCGATACACCATATCCCAAACGGTTGCTTGTAAGTATGCTGATGATATTGTGATTGTTTGACCAGCCCCTATTTCAGACAGTTTTCGACCACTCCAGGACAGTCTTAATGTACTTCACGATTGATCTGTGACCCGATTCCTTAAACTTAACGTCAGTAAGTGCATAGAAGTTCCATTTAGTCTGAAAACCGGTTCCCGTTATTTTTCATTAGTTGATAATCTCCCTGATCTTCGAATTAACAATCAAAGCATTCCCAAATCTACATCTGTTAAATACCTTGGTGTCACCCTTACCCATAACCTGTCCTGGTCTGCTCATATCATCAACTTTTCACTAAAGTTTGAAAACTGTCCGTCTATGCTTGCAGACTCAGGAAACTGGCCGTACCGCATAATCTTATTATTAAATTTGTGATTGTCTGCATTCTTACACACTGGCTATACTGCACCCCGATTTTTATCCCCGGACTGAAAGAAAAAGGCTTCTCTTTATTTTCAAGATCCCTTGAACTTTTGTCCCGCTACAGTGGAGTTGATAGAGTTGTTTTAGTTGATTTCTTTATTTCCAAGCATCTTGACGCTTGTGATACATTCATTGACAGGATAACGCATGATCAAGGGCACTGTCTGCACCAAGATATCGCGAAAGCCCTGTCAATTCCTCGGACACGCTCCAAATATCAACTCCTTCCTGCGCGGACTTCCACATATCGAAACAGTGTAATTCCTTACCTAACTCGTTTACTAGTAAATCATCAGCATATCCTCACCCACCTGAGGGAAAAACTATTGCCCTAATTTTTCTCTCGTTTATTAAAGTGCACAATTTCTCATACTGTATTTTTTTGTTTACAATTATTTTATCTATCCACTGTAAAACTCGTAAACTGCTGAAAATTCAACTTTTGGGTGCATAAAGCTTTTCTTGACTTGACTTGACCTATTTATTGTTAGCAGCCGCGGTTAGATAAAGCTGATTCATTCTACATTTCGCATAGGCTTCGTGCTGTTCGCGGTGTATTCTTCGTAGAGTCTAAAAGCGTAATTCCAATTTTGTCGTACAATATATCTGATTGCGTTTCCGTAACAATCATCATCATTATGATCATCATCATCAACAACAACATCATCATCATCATCGTCATTAACCACATTCTTTACATCTAACTATTTTTTCCCCCAGTGTTTCTTCCCGATTTTGAGTAGACTTCGTTGCGCTCCCTCTCTGTCTTTGGTTTTAGCTCCTTAATTTTGAGCTGCTCATCTCTCGAACGTTTTCCATTTGACTGTTATCCTCTCACTTCCTGCACAACTATAGAATTGACCATCAAAAGCCTTGTCGTATTCGTTTACTCTGTTTACTGGCCTCTGTCATCGTTATAAACTGAGTTTTAATTGGTCAATCAGATATGTGTACTATGATCGCTTCGTATTCACAACCATCTGATGCGATATATCGAAGACAATCTATGGATCTAAATATTTCACACCTGTTCTTGATACCATTGAAATCTTTATTCAGTCACCATGTTCTTACCCGTGTGAAGTCTTTTGAGCTTTATGCGGAAATTTTGTCAATCGTAGCTGTTCAATGTCTCAGTGTGGCCGCAGTTTTTAAATGCAGTTCAAAATTGCAGCTCTAACTATACATTGCTAATCAGCCACGTCAACCCCACCCTCAACGGTAAATCTGCTGGACGAACAGATTATCCAATAAATCAAGGTGTTGAAAGTAGACCGCCTTTTGCACTTTACCAAACCATACACGATTGATAGAAGACCTGGTGACAAATTGGCAATCAATGAATTTCATCCGTTTTGAGTGTCGGAAGTGCATCATTCGGTCTCACCAAATTCATCAAGAGCAGATCATTCAAGTAGCTACTTTGCGTCCAAGTTTGTTCCCTAACGGAAATTAGAATAAATTTCGCGTACATTTGGGAGTAAACCTTATAGAGAAATTGATTATTTACCAACAAAATAGCGATAGGGGAGAAAAAGCCTGTCGTGAATATATTATATTTTAAAAAGCATGTCAATTTAGTCAAATATCTGAGTGTTATTCTTCATAAGCAGTCATAAATTCACCTCACAGAACTACATATTGGTTTGCCCTAAGTTGAGGGAGTACCAGTTTGTTTAGTTTATGGGAAGGGGAGAAGCAAGTGATGACTCCCCGTTCTTGTCTTTTATATACATCCTTCTTCTACAAATAATTTTAATGATACGAACAATTATGAGGAAGGAGAAAGTGGATAATCGAAGGGCTACCACACACAAAGTGGGAAAAATTGGGCAGTGATCGTGGGATTCAAACACACGTGGTTTGGGTCGATGAGCCCCTAACCTTAATCATTTGTTCACCGCTGCCCCATAGCGTGTTTACACTAATTGAACTGTAACAATGATACATAAAATTTCACATGCTCTATTCGGTTGTGTTATGTGTGTTCATTGGTGTTGGAACATAATGTGTGCTTACGATTCGTCAAGTTTTACCTTGAAAAAAGTCAATCGCCGTGGCACAAACGACATGAGATGGTAAGGAATTCCAGACAGTGCACACTCTGTCGGCGGAGGAATGACATGGACAGTCCAGTCGAGATTTTTGGAGTAGTAATTTGAATGGATGTACCCGTAGATGAACGCTTGTTGACAACGTCAAAAGTGGGCAACAAGGGTTGTTTGGGTTGTGTCATATTTGTTACACTAAAATCAAGTCTCCTCGGATCCGATGATACTGAGCGCAGCATAGACCCAATGACTGCAGTCTCCGCATGTATGACTCATAATAGTGTCCTGTGACCAGCTTCGCTTTGAGCCTTTGTGGGCGCCCCGGAATCCTACGATCGCGCTGTAACCATGGGTTTCAGGTTAGGATGGCATACTGAATATGCGGCCCGATGTATGCCAACAGCAGACGTGGGAATAAAGATGGTTCAGAACTACCGAAGACATTTAAATAAACCGATATGTTTGAGTGCTGTTGATGACGCCCTGGCATAATTAACAGAACAACTGAGGTCAGCTTATGTTACAGGGTTGATCACGCTTTAAAATAAAAGGAATCGTACCAAAACCATGATTTCTGAGCTGAAACACATAGTGTTTGAATTATGATCATTTGTATTCCTTTACTTTCAACTCGTAGTCACCTGTGATTAGTTGGTGTGTTGGACAAGTTATGCTGCTATGAACTGACTTTCCTTCACACTTTGCCCAAATGCATAGACTATCCGTACACTCAAGAAGCATAAAAGCCAGCTTAAACAGTGATAATACACGTGTCTGGAATTCAGATCCCTTACGACCCTTGGGTTATGCACTGACGATGAGCTCTAACAAGAGCGAAACACTAGTCTTCCGGTTGACTGAATGAACTAACAACTTGACGTGTAGTTGAATTCGGAAGGATCGTCAGTCTAAATCAGTATTTTGCTTCACATAAAAAGAACCAATAGTGAAAAGCTTTAAGATAAACTTGCACTTGAAACAGATTAGACTATCTTCCAAAAATTTCGTATTTTTCTAGGCATTTTGGTAAGACAGATACCAAACTTTAGATTGGTTCCGTCTCATTGGAAGTCAATTAGCTCAGATAATATGTCATGCGTGTATTCTAATCTGAACAAAATTATCTATCTTTTCGTAATTCTTGTAAATCTGTATGCACTCTGAAATGTGACCACTAAAGTTCATTAGTTCAAGATATTTCAATTTGCAGGATTTTTAAGTGCCGGATTGATTTCCTATCAGATGCTTGGAAAGACGAAAATACATGGATGGAATTAATTAAACTTATAGGGTTTAGTTGCAAATGTGCTCCTTGAATTAAACACTGAATGGTCGAAAACGAAACGAACAGAAGATAAAGCCGAATAAACTACGAAACTAGCTATTAACTAGCTATTACCGTACACACAATTGCTGCGTACCAGGAATGAAAGAAGAAAACGCAAATTCGGTCTTTTTTATTTTCATTTTCATTTTATTTCCTTTTCTTGAGTATACAAAGATGCACTTTTCTGGAAGAGGGTAGCGATCAATCAAAGAGCTGCCATACAACACATATAATG